AGAGTCACCCATTTTGAATAATATTGCATGAGTTCCTTGTTTTTCAATGCAGCATAGTATTCCATTGTGTGAATATACCACAGCTTCTCTACCCATTTGCTTGTTGATGGGCACTTAGGTTGTTTCCAAAGCTGAAAGGTTATTATTTCTAAATGTGTGAAGTCAGAAATGTGAAATGACGGTCAGATGAGCAGTTTGAGATCCTCTTCTCTGATTGACTGTGAAATGGTACTAGATTAAAAACCATATTTCTTTCCTTCAGCAAAAAATACTATGGTTTAGGAAAAAATATATATACTATAAATAGTTAATTATTACTGAGAATCTTGCTTCCAAACCAAAATCAAACTCATTTCCATCAAATGATGACCTTCATCCAGTTTCTGAGGCTATAAATCTTTCTAAGAGACTGGTCCTCTTTCTCTGAATTGGAACCATTGACCTTTCCTTTGGCAGCCCAACACATAGTACAACCCCCCCAGGCTTTTGGTTTACAGTCCATTTCTTAACCCACTGCACAACCAGGGAATATCCTAGAAAATAGATTATTGTTGTTGTTGTTGTTGTTGTTGTTAGGTGTAGTTGACTCGACCGTGACTCAGAGAGACCCTATATGAACAGCAGACCTGAACCCTGCCCTATGCAGCACCATCCCAATCATCTCTCATACATTCGAGCCCATTGCGTAGCCACTCTGTCATGCCACCTCATTGAGGATCTTGCTCTCTTGGGCTGATCCTCCCCACCCTTCTAAGCATGATGTCTTTTTCCCAAGCACTGACCTCTCCTCACAACATGCCCAAAGTATGTGAGATGAAGTTTCACCATCCTTGTCTCGAAGGAGTACTCGGGTTGCTTCTCTGAAACAAATGGCATATGTCTCTTCTCTGAAGCTTCAGTTTGTTCTATTGCCCACCTATAGTGTATTCAGTACTCTTCTCTAATACTACAATTCGAAGGCAATGATCCTTCTTTTGTTACCCTAGCTTTCATATGCATTGGAAGTCATGGGAAGATCATGACTTGAATGAAAAGATCATGGTAAGGCACACCTTAGCCTTCAAACTGACGTGGCTGCTCCTCAGCACCTTGGAGAGGTCCTTGACAGTGAACTTCCCTAAATGTAATAATAGGTCTTTGGATTTCTTGACTGCTATTGCTAAAGACTACTGATTATGGATCCAAGTAAGATGAAATCATTATATTTAGAAAAGATAAGATTCTCATCTGGAAAAGCATGTTCGTGTTCTTTACCTGGATGGAATTCATTCCCATACTTTTTAGAGACAAGTATTTGGGAAAGCTCTAGCTCTGATCTGTGACCCTCTACAGGCCACAAGCCCCAAAGGCCTTCTTTACCTGCAGCTACACACTTAGAGCTCACTCCTTAGGGAAGCTGACCCTGTGTGGATTGTCCAAACTTAAGGGAAATTTATCCACTGCTGTGCTCCTCCCCAGGAATTCTGGCTGGCATGGAGTCATAAAACCTGGGCCTTTCTCATGTCAGAGACTCCACGAAGAATGGCAGAGTCCCTTTGGACACCTCACAAGTCTACGGGTGATGGGTGGGTGAATGGAAGCAGGGAGCATCTCTCTGCCCTTTGGGTCCATTTCTGTAGGGAATGTAGCAGCAAACCAGGAGGACTCTGTGCAAGCTTTTCCCCTACAAGGTAGCGCCCAATGATCTGAAAGGTTTGTTTTGGACAGTGTGCATGCTTACCGTCTTATTTGACAAATCGCATCTGCCAAGGTGGCAGCCAGCAATGAGTGCCAGCTGATGCTTGTGAGATACTTTCCAGGTTCATGCAGTGATGCCAACATGCTCATGTCAGGTCTCATGCTTCTCTGCCATCTGTCCTGTCTGACAGTTCTCATGTCACTTGGCAAAGTGTGCCTTTCTCTGTGTGGTATAGATGGAGCCCATTGGAGAAACCTCTAAATGTCAAGAATCAACCCGTGGCATGGTACAGGAGTTGAGAAAGCTCTTGTTCACACCTATCAGAACTGGACTGACTGGGGATTTGTTACAACCAAGGACGAGCTAACGTGACCCTTGTGTTTTCCAGGGGAATTCTCTGCTGTGTATGCCCAACGTACTCAAGCTGTACTTGGAGAATGGACAGACTAAAGCTTTCAAGTTTGAGGAAAACACAACTGTAAAGGTATTGAGAACAAAGTCTTTTCCAGGAAGGATTTGCTCATGCCAGGACCCCTGGGCATCTTGCCCTGTAGAAGTTCTTTGGGCCTCACAATTGTCATGATCTGAGCACCTGCAATAAGCCAAGCATTGTGTTGTTTAGCTGCACAACTACCCAGCAAGGCAGATATATTTTTTTAAAAATCACTATCCTACAGGATGCTCAAAGAATTGAAATTACTTTCCCAAGGTCATTTCAGAACTAGTCTCATAACCTCCTGCCTCCTGTGGGCACTACCAAAAAGACTAGAACAACTAGAAGGTGTCAGAGGCCACCCAGGCCCATGAACATTATGTTTTGCATTCTCTGGTCCAGGAACAAAAGAGAAAGGGATTCCAGCTGAGTGACAGAAACAAACAAACAAAAAACCCAACAACGCTGAAGTGGTGGAATCTGAGGCAGACTTGGAAATATAGATAGGATTTTTATAGGAATGGGCCAGGAATAATATATGAATAAGTTAGTTCTGCTTACCCTGACTACCCTGTTCTTAGATGCCTTGAGCAGGGCACAGAGCTAGATAAAGGTGGTGGTTGTTATTGTTATTAAGTGCCATCAAGTTGCTTGTGACTCATAATGACCCTATGTACTACAGCTCTGCACCCTGCTCTATCCTTAGTAAGTCTCATTGTCTCTGACACATCTATCCCATTACCCCAGTCACTGAAGCAATCCATCTCATTGAGGTTCTTCCTCTCTTGCATTGTCCCTCCACTCCACCAAGTATGATGCCCCTCTCTAAGGACTAGTCCCACTTTGCAACATGCCCAGATTCAGATGGAGCTTCAGAATCCTTGCCTCCCAGAATTGGCAGCCTCTCCAGCACGAACCTATTTGTTCTCCTAGCAGTTCATGGTATATTCAACAGTCCTCTCCAGCACCACAGCTCAAAGACATCAATTCTTCTATCATATTTAGTCATTGTCCAGCTTTCTGATGCCTAGCAAGTATTTGTGAAGACCACGGTTTGTCTTCAAGTTGTTCACAGTCTCATTAAGAGAGAGCAGACATTCAGCTTGTTCCTACTCATCCGGGACAGGATGCAGTAAGGGCTGTGAAAAGAGGGACATAGGAAAAGGAATGGAGCACTGCCTGGTCCATCTCATCAAGGCATCACAAAGACTTTGGAGGGAAGCTGGCACATGAGCTGGACCTTGAAAAGCAACAAAGCTTTCAACAAAGGCAGGCAAGGGCAGAGCAATTGGGAGGAGGAGACATAGCAATCTCAGGATGAAATAAAGCAGTGAGCCAGTGAAATAGAAACTTGTTTAGGAAATGGAACAAAGTTGGAGCAAGGCCGTTTTCTTGCAGGAGGAATGAGATGGTGCAGGCTGACTGTGGAGCTTCAAACGCCAGGCTGTGGAGCTTGAATTTTCTCTGAGGGCAAGAAGAGATGACAGTAAGAGCTTTTAACAAAGGAATACTTGGTGTTAGAGGAGGCTCCAGTGAAGAAGCAAACAGTTAAAGGAAGTCCTCAGACCTTGAAAACATGAAAGAGTAAGCCAACTCTCCCGATATTGAAGAACAGGTTCAGGTAGGCCAGTAGGTAATGGACAGTGGACAAGACGTGACCTGTGCGGGCACACAGTTACACACACTTGTGGACACATGCACAAACATTTATACACACACACATGTTTTTGTATACTATCTAGTTGGAACTGATGCATACATAGCTGACCCCCTAGTGGGTTTTCAGAGGCAGTAAATCACCTCTGGAGGCAATTGGAGGAGATTGCCTATCTTTCTCCTGCAGAGCAACTGGTTAGTTCAATCTGCATGCCTTTGTGTTGGCAGCGTCATTCCTTACCACTGAGGCACCAGAGCTCTGGATATAATTGTATCTGCATGTATAGACACGCACATGTGCATGCTCACACACAGGGGTCTTCTCTGGCACCTTTCTTTGGAAGTGCCTAGAGCTGTTCTGAAAGTTCTGTCTCGTTCATACTTTCCTGAGAATGTGACTTAAGAAACCCTGGAGAAAGTCTTTCTGAACTGGGAAACTCCCAGCCTGGAAGACGAAGTTTGCCCTTAAAAGAAGAATGATCGTGGTTTACTGGATGTTACCACATGCCAGGAGGTCTAGGCGCACGGTGATAACTGCTCAGCGGCTCCACCAGAAGTTGGTAGTTTAAACCCACTGGCTGCTCCACAGGAGAATGATGTGTCAATCTGCTCCCACAAAGATTCGAAAACGCTCCAGCTCATTGCCAGTGAGTCAGAGCTAACTCATCGTTGACCCTCCAGTGGGTTTTTGAAGCTACACGTCACAAGCAAGGAAACTGTTCATCTCTGTCTCTCAAAAAGCTGCTGGTAGAATCAAACCACCAGAGAGGCTCAGATAAAGACTGCAGGGCAGTCGCAGCCCCACAGGGCAGGTCTGCTTTGTCCTATAGGTTAGCTGTGAGCTGGACTGAATTTGACTTTTAGGTTTTTCTACTACATGACAGACACTTTCTGACACTACTAACAGATGAGATGACAGATCTGAGAGGTCCAAACATGCTGAGATCAGCTAGCTCACGACCATGTCTTCAATGTGCTGTTTCTGAATCCTGCTCTAGAGCTTACAACTCTGCCATGCTGCAGAAAAGGGAAAAGTTTTCAAATGAATTAGACAAGGTTCTGCTGCTATCATCTTTGATCAAGCTGGATTGGAATAGAAGGGATAATGTATTTAAACTGTATTCCCCTTTGGTGACCAAATATACTTTGTGATGATTTACAATAAAAGTACACATTAAGTACTCCAAGATGATGGAGTTGGAAAAATAAGCCTGGGCTTAGCCAGTATAATACTGTGGCCAGTGACATGTTTTTAAAAGCAGCCTTTTAGCTCTTTGTCACACATAAAGAAGGATAACAGTAAATCCTGTGGATAAAAAAGGAAATGTCATTGCCAGCTTGTCAGTGCCTTCTCTTCTACCCTCCATTATCAAGGGCAGCAAAGTCCTTGTATCAGAAAGCTCATGGTCCCTAAATCAAGAAAATTTGTCATTCAACACATTAAAGAGCCACTGCCACTTTGTCAGTGTGTCACAGGCAGTAGCCTGAATGGAGGTTGTAGTGGTAGAAGTCGATTACTCAGGGTCACATGCTGAAGGAGCCTGGAGTCTTGAGTTGAGGGTTTGGAGTTGGCTGAGGAAATGAGACCTGGGGACAGCACACTATGGAACAAAGCACAGTGTGTCCAGGATCATTAAAACAGCCCTAAAACTGTGTGGTACAGGGTCAGTGACGAAAGTCTCCCAGCCAGGTGACCATCGAAGAAAAGTCTCCTGGAAGCAGTGGATTCTGAGGCAGATTTCGAAAGATAGATAGGATTTTGATAGGAATGGGCCAGGAATAGTACGTGAAGAGGGCATCCTAACCATGGGTATCAACACCAACCCAGGGATGGAAAGATTTGGCCAGTGTATGAACCACATGAACAGGTGCACTGGGAGAAGCAGCAGAAGAGAAGTGGGAAAAATCAGTTAGCACCTTCTACTTGGAAGTCTTGATATTAAACCAAGGAGTTTGGACTTTTCCCACGGCCATTGAGAGCCACTCAGTGTTCCTGAGCAAGAGAAACATTCTGTATGGTCATGTTCTTCTAGACCAGAGATCAGCATTTATTTTTCCAAGAGCAAGTTGTTGTTGTTGTTGTGGTGGTGGTGGTGTACCATAGAGTTGGAACTGACCCATAGCTGACCCTCCAGTAGGTTTTCAGAGGCTGCTAAATGCACAGGAGGTGACTGCCCATCTTTCTCCTGCGGAACAGCTGGTGGCCTCAAACCATGTACCTTGCGTGCAGCACAGCTTCTTGGTACTAGGCCACCAGAACTCTCTAAGACCAAGATAGTTAATGTTTTAAACTCATCAGGCCATACAGTCAGGGTTGCAGTAACTCAGTGTAACCACTCTAGTAAATGGGCATGACGTCATGTCCATGACATGGATGTGTCCATAAATCTTTAATTACAAAAGGCAATGGACTGGATTTCACTGATGGTCCATGTTTGCCCATCCCTGCTCTAAATCCCAGCTAAAGGACAAAGAGCCAAGAGGGAGTTCCTAAGACACCCCTGTACAAAGCTCTGAGAGAGCTACAGATCAAGGTAGGCACTGGAGAAGAGAAGACAGAGTAAAAGACGGGCTTCCCACCCAGAGCAGCACAATGCCTGACGCCAAGTGAATGCTGAATTGCTGTTGGATCACTGAGGCAGATATACTCGTCAGGACTCACTTGCTACATATGCAGGTCATGGAACAGGCAAGGAGAGGATTCCCAGGCTTCTTCTGAGCAGCGGGTGAAATGATCTGAGGTTCTGGCAGGACTTCGATGACGAGTCCAGGATGGTTAGCCACTCATTACATGCAAGTGTACTGAGTGTCTATGAGGATACACTGGAGTACAAGACAAGCAAGGTTCACGTCCTCATGGCATTTACTGTCTGCTGGGGAGACAGATAATAAACCAGAGAATTATTAGCAGCTAGCATTTATTGAGCACCTCACATCTTCCAAGAACTCTTGGGTAGGGTTTGGGTTTTTTGGTTTGTTTTGTTTGTTTGTTTTGGTATTGCCAAATATTTCACCCTTTTTAAGCATTGCACATTCCATTGCAATCGACTTCCCAATGTCTTCCATGTAAAATACCTCAGGTACTATCTACGCTGCAATCTTGAAGGCACACAGTTCAAATCTACCAGATGCTTCATGGGAGTAGGATGGGCAGTCTCCTCCCACGTGATTACTGCCTCTGAAAACCCAAGGGAGGGTCAGCTATGGGTCAGTTCCGACTTGAAGGTACACAACAACAACAACAATGAGGAAATTAACTTGATGCATACCACAACCGTATGTGGTAGATAGTAACGGTATCGCCATCTAATAGATGGGAAAACTGAGGCATAGAGAATAAGCTAGTTATGAAGGATTCATAACAGAACAGGTGGTCGAGGTCGAGACTTTATTCTCTTAACTTCCCATACTGCCTCTTACTAAAGAGCAACTCAACGCAATGCCATTGAGTCAGAACCAACTCATAGCTACAGCTGTAGCTGACCCTCCAGCAGGTTTTCAGAGGCAATGACTTCCATGGGAGGAGATTGCCACTTTTCTGTCATGAAACCACTGGTGCCTTCGAACCACCAGAGAGGCATCACCCGTGCGTTAGCAGTGCAATTTACTGGGAACTAGGCCCCCAGAGCGTCCTTTCTAAAGAATTCAGCTGTTCCTGAAGAAAACAGTAATGAAGGAAATAAACAGGGCCCTAGGGCAGAGGATAACAAGGACAATCATGTTCAGCTAATGTGGTCAGAGAAGGCCTTTTAAGCAGAGAGTTGAAGGAAGAGAAACAGCCTAATGAAATAACGGGAGAGTCTGCAGTACTTTATACGGGTGCCTGGAGGCAGTAGACTTCAGTGCACAGAGGATCATTCAGTTTAGGGAGGAAAAGGGAAGTGACATGGCAATTCTGCCTCAGCACGCCCATTCAGCAATTATTACTTCATTTGATTCTGTCAACCACTCTGGCGAGACATTATTATTCTCTATCTTACATAACTCTACATCTTACATAGGAGGAAACTGAGGTTCAGAAGCCTCAGATCTCTCCCAGCCAAGCAGGCAGTGAGATTCTGTAAGCAATTGGAGATCCAGACCAGAAACTCCAGAGAGGGCAGGAGCCTGGAGACCTTGAAGGAGGAGGCAGGAACCTCTGCCTGAGCCTTCCTAGTAAAACAAGAGAGGGCGGTCATGTGAATGGTCGGGGGTCCTGAGGAGAGGGGGCAGTGGGCAGAGGGCTGTGCAGGGTGACAGGAAGTTCTTCAGAGGACCTGACAAGCTGGAGCTGGAGGTCCTATTGAGATTCAGCTGCCGGAGTTAGCAGTGGGCCCTGTCAGCACAGCCCCCACAGTTAGCAGTGGGCCCAGTCAGCACACCCCCACTGTGCTGAGGGACAGAGAGCAGGAGAAATCAGGGAAGTCGTGCCTGGTGCCTAAGCATGAGGCCATGCCTGCTCCTCAGGAGTAACTTGGGGTGACCCTGTGCCTGTCCATGTGGTAGGACATCATCCTCACCGTGAAGGAGAAGCTGTCGATCCGCAGCATTGAGTACTTCGCGCTGGTTCTGGAAGAGCAGTACAGCATCTCCCAGCTGCACCTGCTGCACGAGGAGGAACTCATCCAGCAGGTAGGGAGGACAGGCCACCTTTGCCTGGGAGGGACAGGCGAGCAGGCTACACACCTCAGCCAGAACCTCTGGGGACAGGCGTCAGCATGAATACAGTTTGATGTTCTTTCCTGGGGTACAGAAGTCACAGAGTATACTTAGTCTGGCACTAACAGGATGAAAATCAGGCCTGGTTTTCATTTGCCTCTAAAAGGGCACAGATTTAAATTCCCCATTTTACAGATGGGAAGACAGAAGTTGAGAGAGGTAAGCTGGTTTAAAGTAACTGCTGATAGAGACCTGATCTTCTAAGTTTTATGATTTCCCCGCCCGCCCC